CCATCAATGTACATACCAGTATCACCATCAATGTACATACCAGTATCAACATCAATGTACATAACCAGTATCACCATCAATGTACATAACAGTATCATCAATGTACACACCAGTATCACCAACAATGTACATGCCAGTATCACTATCAATGTACATAACCAGTATCACCATCAGTGTACATACCCATAACACCATCAATGTACATACCAGTATCACCATCAATGTACATCCCCGTAACACCATCAATGTACATAACAAGTATCACCATCAATGTACATACCCGTATCACCATCAGTGTACATAACCAGTATCACCATCAATGTACATACCAGTATCACCATCAATGTACATACCCGTATCACCATCAGTGTACATAACCAGTATCACCATCAATGTACATACCCATAACACCATCAATGTACATAGCCAGTATCACCATCAATGTACATAACAAGTATCACCATCAGTGTATATAACCAGTATCACCATCAATGTACATACCCGAAAAACCATCAATGTACATAGCCAGTATCACCATCAATGTACATACCAGTATCACCATCAATGTAAATAAGAAGTATCACCATCAATGTACATAACAGTATCATCAATGTACACACCAGTATCACCATCAGTGTACATAACCAGTATCACCATCAATGTACATACCACTATCACCATCAATGTACATACCCGTAAGACCATCAATGTACATAGCCAGTATCACCATCAATGTACATAACAAGTATCACCATCAGTGTACATATCAAGTATCACCATCAATGTACATACCAGTATCACCATCAATGTACATACCCGTAACACCATCAATGTACATAGCCAGTATCACCATCAATGTACATAACCAGTATCACCATCAATGTACATACCCGTATCACCATCAATGTACATACCCGTAACACCATCAATGTACATAAACAGTATCTCCATCAATATACATACCCGTATCACCATCAGTGTACATAGCCAGTATCACCATCAATGTACATAACCAGTATCACCATCAATGTACATACCCGTATCACCATCAATGTACATACCCGTAACACCATCAATGTACATAGCCAGTATCACCATCAATATACATACCCGTATCACCATCAGTGTACATAACCAGTATCACCATCAATGTACATACCCATAACACCATCAATGTACATAGCCAGTATCACCATCAATGTACATAACAAGTATCACCATCAGTGTATATAACCAGTATCACCATCAATGTACATACCCGAAAAACCATCAATGTACATAGCCAGTATCACCATCAATGTACTTACCAGTATCACCATCAATGTACATAACAAGTATCACCATCAATGTACATAACAGTATCATCAATGTACACACCAGTATCACCATCAGTGTACATAACCAGTATCACCATCAATGTACATACCAGTATCACCATCAATGTACATACCCGTAAGACCATCAATGTACATAGCCAGTATCACCATCAATGTACATAACAAGTATCACCATCAGTGTACATATCAAGTATCACCATCAATGTACATACCAGTATCACCATCAATGTACATAACAAGTATCACCATCAATGTACATACCAGTATCACCATCAATGTACATACCCGTAACACCATCAATGTACATAGCCAGTCTCACTATCAATGTACATAACCAGTATCACCATCAATGTTCATACTCGTATCACCATCAATGAACATAGCCAGTATCTCCATTAATGTACATAACAAGTATCACCATCAATATACATACCCGTATCACCATCAGTGTACATAACCAGTATCACCATCAATGTACATAGCCAGTATCACCATCAATGTACATAACAAGTATCACCATCAGTGTACATAACCAGTATCACCATCAATGTACATTGCCAGTATCACCATCAATGTACATAACAAGTATCACCATCAATGTACATACCCGTATCACCATCAGTGTACATAACCAGTATCACCATCAATGTACATATCAAGTATCACCATCAATGTACATACCAGTATCACCATCAATGTACATAGCTAGTATCACCATCAATGTACATACCCATATCAACATCAATGTACATAACCAGTATCACCATCAATGTACATAACAAGTATCACCATCAGTGTTCATAACCAGTATCACCATCAATGTACATACCCGTATCACCATCAATGTACATACCCGTAACACCATCAATGTACATAGCCAGTATCACCATCAATGTACATACCAGTATCACCATCAATGTACATACCCATATCAACATCAATGTACATAACCAGTATCACCATCAATGTACATAACCAGTATCACCATCAATGTGCACAACCAGTATCACCATCAATGTACATACCAGTATCACCATCAATGTACATACCCATATCACCATCAATGTACATGCCAGTATCACTATCAATGTACATAACAAGTATCACCATCAATGTACATACCAGTATCACCATCAATTTACATACCCGAAAAACCATCAATGTACATAGCCAGTATCACCATCAATGTACATACCCGTATCAACATCAATGTACATAACCAGTATCACCATCAATGTACATAACAGTATCATCAATGTACACACCAGTATCACTATCAATGTACATGCCCGTATCATCATCAATGTACATCACCAGTATCACCATCAAAGTAGATACCCATATCACCATCAATATACAAACACATGTACCAGTATCACCATCAATGTACATAACCAGTATCACCATTAATGTACATAGCCAGTATCATTAGTACTCAGGAATTTGAGTTGAGTTTATGGTGACACACAACATTTGCTATGACATGTATGAGTACGTACCTTAGGATGGCATGTGTCTTTTATACACTGCATCTAGTCTTTATTTATTGTTAAGTATGTTTCTTACAGTTACAGAGTCACGTAATTAGACTATAGTAGTTATTTTTAGAATGTAAGGGCAGTAACTCGCACTGCACACCTCATCTGCGCATTGTGATGCGCAGGTTCCTTAGTGGTTTTCGTGCACAATCGCCATTGTTTCTGTTGACATCGTAAGCTACGTTAATCGACTTGACACACTCACTACGTCAGTTTCGTTTGCTGTAAGTCGGCTGGACCGATCTTTTCTCGTCAAAGATCATTTTCATCGAATGATCGTCACGCCATGGCTACTCGTCGTCCAAAGAGACATCGAAGCAGAAATAGGTCATCGGCGCACACTACGGACGACATTGCGATCCAACATGGCGGCCCTGCTACTTCCGACCACGAGCAAACATCTATCGACAGCGCACAATCTGTAGACGCAGAGACTTTCCGTGCGAGGTATCGCCACGAAAATCCGGGGATTTACGACGGAGATCCCAGGAACTGGTATGTGTCCCAGCTGAGGGCACGAATTGCCAGGGACATCGGGATTCAACATCTTCCCCCGAGTCTCACCAAGGCTCAACTTCTGGCGTTGTATTTACGCAACCGCCCATCAGAGTCGGCACGGGGACAGTCAGGAGAGCCTGAATCATCGGATGCCACTGAGGTGCACAGGACTCGCTTGCCTAGTAGGACTGTCTCCTCCAGTGCCACCATTACCTCAGATGACCACAATGGGCCCAACTCGTGTGTGACCGACCTTCAAGGTTTATCCATGACAGTCAATCAACTGGTGGCAACAGTGGCTGCACTAGCAGAGAAGGTCAATTCAACCACCAATAACCATGCCAATCTCACTGTGCCTCCAAATATCATAGACAGCCAGTTTTCGCTGCAGACTGCCTTACATGACAGACTTCAACAGGGTCAAGGGCCACCAGGCTTCTCCACCTCACGTCCCTTCACCCTCGATACTGTTTATGACAACACAGCCTCAAGCACTACCCATCATGTTACAGGTAATTTTGGCTTAGACCCTAATTCCCTTCCCCGTATAGATACAGTGTCTGCCAGTTTACGTCAGCACATAGTGGAAGGTAGAGATGTCAACCTAGCACTGCTACTAGTTCCAGATGATATACCCACTAACCCTCGTACAATTGAACTGGGGAATGGTGAATTACGACTAAAACCAGCCGGAGATCCCAGACTACAGAAAACCCTCAGTCTCAAACACTTCATCACTGCTTTCAATCGCTACAAGAGAATTATGTTGACCCGATGGCCTCAGAGAAGTGTAGAATTGGACAGATATCTTGATCTTATTTTGGGCCTTAGCAACGAAGGTGAGGAAAGTGATTTCTACACCTACCATAAGATGTTTTCAGCCAAAGCCGCTTCAGCTCTTCTGCAGTCCAATGTCAAAGTAGATTGGAGCAAGTTGGATCAAGAGTTATACCTAAGAGTTTTCAATTCTGACAAGAACAATAGGTGTCAACACTGTCATGGAATCAACCACCCCACAGAATTCTGCCCTTTAGCCATCCACCAGGCTAGTGCCAACAAACGAGATAAGAATCTCCCACATATGTTCAATCGTAGCCAAGCCCGACCTCGAAACCAAGATGCTCAAGGTCGTCAAATTGTGTTTCATGAAGGACGTCCAGTGTGCAATAATTTCAACTACGAATCGTGTGTACGTCCGAACTGTAGATTTGCTCATGTCTGTGCTGGATGTCAGAAGAATCATGCAATCAAGAAGTGTTCGAAGACATCAGACAAATCAACACGTTCCAAGTGACTACCCCTTAATGCAGTCATATCTCCAATTAAGGTAGACGTGTTACAGCAACAACTGGGAAAACATCCCGATAAACATTTCGTGCAAGAACTGGTTTCGGGGATATCAGATGGGTATTTTACAGGCATAGATCACCCCCCTACTAGGACATATGAGTGCAAGAATTTGTTATCCACCAGAGGACGCAAGAAGTCGGCAGCTGTCGACACTCTTCTGCAACAGGAACGAGACAGGGGCTATCTCATTGGTCCGTTTGATATATCACCCTTCCCAATTCACCGCATCAACCCCATTGGACTGGTCGAAGGAAAGTATTCCAGAAAGCAGAGACTGATTGTGGATATGTCGGCTCCTCACGACGATTGTGTGAATCCCAGCCTCAATTCCTTGATCGACAAGGACAAGTATTCCTTGTCATATGTGACAGTGGATGATGCCATCAATGTCATCAAACAACTTGGGCCAGGATCTGTTATGTGTAAAACTGACATCACAGATGCTTTTAAACTTATACCCATCCACCCTGACCTGTGGCATCTTCACGGTATTAAATGGCGCCAACAGTTTTACTACTTCACTAGACTAGTGTTTGGATGTAGGTCCAGTCCAAAAATATTTGATCAGTTGTCCATAGCCATATGCTGGATAGCCCAAAACTGTTACCAGATACCACTCATTCTTCATCTGTTGGATGACTTCATATGTTTCGCCAAAGACCATTCTCTTGGACAGACTATTATGAACAATATGCTCACTATGTTTCATGACTTGGACATTCCCTTATCTAAAGCTAAGACAGCTGGTCCTTCGGAATGCCTAGAATATCTTGGCATCACCCTGGATTCTTCTCGGATGGAGGCCCGCCTGCCTACGGAGAAAGTGCAGAGAATTGTCACCTTGATCGACCATATAAGCAAGAAAACCCATGTGACTAAGAGGGATCTCTTAGTGATTCTGGGACACATGAACTTTGCCATGCGCATCATTAGACCAGGCAGAAGTTTTATTGGATACCTATTAGGGGTAGCTCACTCGGTTTCCAACCTACGGGACATTGTGCATCTCTCAGCTGACTGCCTGCTGGATTTCCAAATGTGGCGCTACTTTCTTCAAAATTGGAATGGTGTCTCCATGTTTATTACAGACACTATCAACTCACCTGATTTTCAGTTGTACACAGACGCGGCAGCATCTCTTGGATATGGGGGTTTCTTCCAAGGCAGATGGTTTTCATCCACCTGGTCCACAGAACTGTTTAGTTTGGCAGGAGTAAACTTGTCAATAGCACTCTTGGAGTTATTTCCCATTGTGACAGCTGCCCATTTATGGGGACCCTTGTGGTCAAATAAGTGTGTGTGTTTCTACTGTGACAACCAGGCCACTGTTGCTATCATCAACAAAGGCAGATCCCCTATCCCTCTTATCATGCGTTTTATGAGACAATTAACCTTACATGCTATTCAATGGAATTATGTGTTTTGTGCTAAACATGTTCCTGGTGTGGATAATGCTATAAGTGATGCTCTCTCACGATTGCAGATAGCCAGATTTCGTCACCTAGCACCAGATGCAGAGTGTCACCCAACCCCGTGTCCTCAGCTGACAGACCTGATGTACCCGTAACCCATGGAGGAAATATCGAGGCAGACATCGAACTTTTGTGGTCATCAGCTGTGTCTACCAGAACATATCAGGTCTACCAATCAGGAGTTAATGCATTTCTCACCTTCATGACTATGCAGGGGTTCGTGTGGACTACTACTTTACCTCCTATCTCGGAAGACATTCTAATTAGATTTGTGGCTCACTGTTACCGTAGAATGTTGCTACGATATTCTACCATTAAATCATACCTGTGTGGCATTCGGTTTAGGTATTTACAAGTAGGTTTACCTAACCCTTGGACATCCGGTTCTTTAATTCGGTTGCAAACTATTGTGCAGGGGGTAAAAAGACATCAAGGGCTGTCCACATCACCCCGCTTGCCAATAACAACTCCTATCTTAGCTAAGATTGTTATGGCTCTAAATCATGGTGTTTTTGATCCCTACACCTGTGGACTATTGAAAGCAGTGTGTTGTCTGGCGTTCTTCGGCTTTCTCCGTTGCGGAGAATTTGCTTGTGACACTGACAACTTTAATCCAGTTTACAATCTTACCCTTAGAGCTGTGCAATTCTCCAAGATCTCGGCTTCATTCACCTTGCTGTTGGCAGCGTCAAAGACAGATCCATTCCGGAAAGGAGTAACCATCACCTATACAGCCACGGGCAATTGTGTATGCCCTGTAGCTAGTATGCAAGCCTACCTCGTTCAACGCCATCGCTATGCCGTGCATAGTGCTGATCCTTTATTTGTTACGGTAGATGGCAAGGTATTATGCAGGACATATTTCATCGTGCAACTGAAGAAACTATTAAGACTGTGTGGTTATAATGACAATGCCTACAATGGTCATTCCTTTCGAATAGGAGCCGCTACATCAGCAGCCAGTGCTAAAGTACCAGATCACCTCATACAAGTCCTTGGTCGGTGGTCATCTTCTTGTTACACCAGATATATACGTACACCTCAAGATGTTTTGTGGCGGGCTCAAAAAGATATGGCTTATCTTTGTTAACATTGGCCATAATACCCTTCTCCACATCGCCCAGTGTATATATTCATGTTAAATTCATCTGTAAACCTTTTCTTCAAGTGTAATGTATTATCATGATTATTTAGCATATTTCTTGACTCCAATACACATGTTAGTTCACTACATATTCTTATGTTTGTTGTTTGTTCTCTTGGATACAGGTTAGAAATAGTTACCACCTTGGTTATAGGGCATACATTTGTTACATCCTTGTACGACTATGACCAGTTTACTTCTGTGTAGTTAGTTTTTGGGGGATTCTCATTTAAAAAATTAATCATAGGCATATTTCTTAATTCTTTCATGTTCATTTGGCAGAGTATCCGCCGGTAGTTGCGGATATTCATGGCCCCAAAATGTTAGTATTCTCACCACTAGGCCTGGTCATCTCAGCACTTGACACTGCAGGGCGTTTCCCCTCAGGATGGGGTCAAGTGGTTTGCTGTATTACATAAGTAATGGGAATCCCCCAGCCCAAAATAAATAAATCATTATTATTTGTATGTTGCTGTTCTGTTGTGTGTCAGTATAAATTAGTACTCAGGAATTTGAGTTGAGTTTATGGTGACACACAACATTTGCTATGACATGTATGAGTACGTACCTTAGGATGGCATGTGTCTTTTATACACTGCATCTAGTCTTTATTTATTGTTAAGTATGTTTCTTACAGTTACAGAGTCACGTAATTAGACTATAGTAGTTATTTTTAGAATGTAAGGGCAGTAACTCGCACTGCACACCTCATCTGCGCATTGTGATGCGCAGGTTCCTTAGTGGTTTTCGTGCACAATCGCCATTGTTTCTGTTGACACCCACCTCCATCCCCTGCTCCACCAGTTCTGTGGTAATCAGATCTTGTCTACTTAGTATAACAACTATTAAACATGCATGTATAAGGCTTTATACTGGGGATTCCCATTCTTGTGTTAATATATTATCAGAGTTAATAATATATCTCATCAATTACTTAAATACTCTGTCCATGTGCTTATATCCATTAACATTCACCCATGTAACTTCTTATTCTTATTTAATATTTGTCATGCTAACCTCTTTTGCCCAGCGCTTGGGTACTATAATACACTGTCAAGGAGTTTCCCTCCATAGTTATGTATTTTCAAATCACCATGTAATGCATTTTCCCTTCGCAGCTGTTATAGGTAATCTACTGTCGAGGCGTTTCCCTCCAGTTTTATCTGTAATCCACTGTTGAAGGCGTTTTCCCTTTGCAGCTATAATCTGTAATCTACTGTTGAAGGCGTTTCCCTTCACAGCCATAATCTATAATCCACTGTCGAAGGCGTTTCCCTTCGCAGCTATGTTATCGTTAATCCACGGTTGAAGGCGTTTCCCTTCTCAGCTTTATCTGTAATCCACCGTTGAAGGCGTTTCCCTTCACAGCCTTATCTGTAATTCACTGTGGCAGGCGTTTCCCTTCACAGCTTTATCTGTAATCCACTGTTGTAAGCGTTTCCCTTCGCAGCTATTTTATCTGTAATCCACTGTTGAAGGCGTTTCCCTTCACAGCTTTATCTGTAATCCACTGTTGTAAGCGTTTCCCTTCGCAGCTATTTTATCTGTAATTCACTGTTGAAGGCGTTTCCCTTCACAGCTTTATCTGTAATCCACTGTTGTAAGCGTTTCCCTTCGCAGCTATTTTATCTGTAATCCACTGTTGAAGGCGTTTCCCTTCTCAGCTACATCTGTAATCTACTGTTGAAGGCGTTTCCCTTCTCAGCTACATCTGTAATCTACTGTTGAAGGCGTTTCCCTTCTCAGCTACATCTGTAATCCACTGTTGAAGGCGTTTCCCTTCGAAGCTATGTAATCTGTAATCACTGTTGAAGGCGTTTCCCTTTGCAGCTATGTCATTGTAATCTATTGTTGAAGGCGTTTCCCTTCCCAGCTATAATCTGTGGCAGAGTATCCGCCGGTAGTTGCGGATATTCATGGCCCCAAAATGTTAGTATTCTCACCACTAGGCCTGGTCATCTCAGCACTTGACACTGCAGGGCGTTTCCCCTCAGGATGGGGTCAAGTGGTTTGCTGTATTACATAAGTAATGGGAATCCCCCAGCCCAAAATAAATAAATCATTATTATTTGTATGTTGCTGTTCTGTTGTGTGTCAGTATAAACCATCAGTGTACATGCCCGTATCATCATCAATGTACATCACCAGTATCACCATCAAAGTAGATACCCATATCACCATCAATATACAAACACATGTACCAGTATCACCATCAATGTACATAACCAGTATCACCATTAATGTACATAGCCAGTATCACCATCAGTGTACATACCCGTATCACCATCAATGTACATAGCCAGTATCACCATCAAAGTACAGACCCGTATCACCATCAGTGTACATAACCAGTATCACAATCAATGTACATGTCAGTATCACCATCAATTTACATATCAGTATCACCATCAATGTACATACCAGTATCACCATCAATGTACATAGCCAGTATCACCATCAAAGTACAGACCCTTATCACCATCAGTGTACATAACCCGTATCACCATCAGTGTGCATAACCAGTATCACCATCAATGTACATACCAGTATCACCATCAATGTACATATCAGTATCACCATCAATGTACATAACAAGTATCACAATCAATGTACATAACCAGTATCACTATCAATGTTCATACCTGTATCACCATCAAAGTACAGACCGTATCACCATCAATGTACATAACCAGTATCAACATCAATGTACAGACCTTATCACTGTCAATGTACATACCTGTATCACCATCAATGTACATAACCAATATCACTATCGATGTACATAGCCATTATCACCATCATTGTATATAGCCAGTATTACCATCAATGTACATAACCAGTATCACCATCAGTGAACATAACCAGTAACACCATCAATGTACATACCAGTATCACCATCAATGTACATAGCCAGTAACACCATCAATGTACATACCCATATCACCATCAATGTACATAACCAGTATCACCATCAATGTACATACCAGCATCACCATCAATGTACATAACCAATATCACGATCAATGTACATACCCGTATCACTATCGATGTACATAGCCAGTATCAACATCATTGTATATAGCCAGTATTACCATCAATGTACATAACCAGTATCACCATCAATGTACATAACAAGTATCACCATCAATGTACATACCAGTATCACCATCAATGTACATAGCCAGTAACACCATCAATGTACATACCCATATTACCATCAATGTACATAACCAGTATCACCATCAATGTACATACCAGCATCACCATCAATGTACATACCCGTAACACCATCAATGTACATAGCCAGTATCACTATCAATGTACATAACCAGTATCACCATCAATGTTCATACTTGTATCACCATCAATGTACATAGCCAGTATCTCCATTAATGTACATAACAAGTATCACCATCAATATACATACCCGTATCACCATCAGTGTACATAACCATTATCACCATCAATGTACATAACCAGTATCACCATCAATGTACATAACAAGTATCACCATCAGTGTACATAACCAGTATCACCATCAATGTACATTGCCAGTATCACCATCAATGTACATAACAAGTATCACCATCAATGTACATACCCGTATCACCATCAGTGTACATAACCAGTATCACCATCAATGTACATAGCCAGTATCACCATCAATGTACATAACAAGTATCACCATCAGTGTACATATCAAGTATCACCATCAATGTACATACCAGTATCACCATCAATGTACATAGCTAGTATCACCATCAATGTACATACCCATATCAACATCCATGTACATAACCAGTATCACCATCAATGTACATAACAAGTATCACCATCAGTGTACATAACCAGTATCACCATCAATGTACATACCTGTATCACCATCAATGTACATACCCGTAACACCATCAATGTACATAGCCAGTATCACCATCAATGTACATATCCATATCACCATCAATGTACATAACCAGTATCACCATCAATGTACATACCAGCATCACCATCAATGTACATAACCAATATCACGATCAATGTACATACCCGTATCACTATCGATGTACATAGCCAGTATCACCATCATTGTATATAGCCAGTATTACCATCAATGTACATAACCAGTATCACCATCAATGTACATAACAAGTATCACCATCAATGTACATACCAGTATCACCATCAATGTACATAGCCAGTAACACCATCAATGTACATACCCATATCACCATCAATGTACATAACCAGTATCACCATCAATGTACAAACCAGCATCACCATCAATGTACATACCCGTAACACCATCAATGTACATAGCTAGTATCACCATCAATGTACATACCCATATCAACATCAATGTACACACCAGTATCACCATCAGTGTACATAACCAGTATCACCATCAATGTACATACCAGTATCACCATCAATGTACATACCCGTAACACCATCAATGTACATAGCCAGTATCAGCATCAATGTACATAACAAGTATCACCATCAGTGTACATATCAAGTATCACCATCAATGTACATACCAGTATCACCATCAATGTACATACCCGTAACACCATCAATGTACATAGCCAGTATCACCATCAATGTACATAACCAGTATCACCATCAATGTACATACCCGTATCACCATCAATGTACATACCCGTAACACCATCAATGTACATAAACAGTATCTTCATCAATATACATACCCGTATCACCATCAGTGTACATAGCCAGTATCACCATCAATGTACATAACCAGTATCACCATCAATGTACATACCCGTATCACCATCAATGTACATACCCGTAACACCATCAATGTACATAGCCAGTATCACCATCAATATACATACCCGTATCACCATCAGTGTACATAACCAGTATCACCATCAATGTACATACCCATCACACCATCAATGTACATAGCCAGTATCACCATCAATGTACATAACAAGTATCACCATCAGTGTATATAACCAGTATCACCATCAATGTACATACCCGAAAAACCATCAATGTACATAGCCAGTATCACCATCAATGTACATACCAGTATCACCATCAATGTACATAACAAGTATCACCATCAATGTACATAACAGTATCATCAATGTACACACCAGTATCACCATCAGTGTACATAACCAGTATCACCATCAATGTACATACCAGTATCACCATCAATGTACATACCCGTAAGACCATCAATGTACATAGCCAGTATCACCATCAATGTACATAACAAGTATCACCATCAGTGTACATATCAAGTATCACCATCAATGTACATACCAGTATCACCATCAATGTACATAACAAGTATCACCATCAATGTACATACCAGTATCACCATCAATGTACATAGCCAGTAACACCATCAATGTACATACCCATATCACCATCAATGTACATAACCAGTATCACCATCAATGTACATACCAGCATCACCATCAATGTACATACCCGTAACACCATCAATGTACATAGCCAGTATCACTATCAATGTACATAACCAGTATCACCATCAATGTTCATACTCGTATCACCATCAATGAACATAGCCAGTATCTCCATTAATTTACATAACAAGTATCACCATCAATATACATACCCGTATCACCATCAGTGTACATAACCAGTATCACCATCAATGTACATAGCAAGTATCACCATCAATGTACATAACAAGTATCACCATCAGTGTACATAACCAGTATCACCATCAATGTACATTGCCAGTATCACCATCAATGTACATAACAAGTATCACCATCAATGTACATACCCGTATCACCATCAGTGTACATAACCAGTATCACCATCAATGTACATATCAAGTATCACCATCAATGTACATACCAGTATCACCATCAATGTACATAGCTAGTATCACCATCAATGTACATACCCATATCACCATCAATGTACATAACCAGTATCACCATCAATGTACATAACAAGTATCACCATCAGTGTTCATAACCAGTATCACCATCAATGTACATACCCGTATCACCATCAATGTACATACCCGTAACACCATCAATGTACATAGCCAGTATCACCATCAATGTACATACCAGTATCACCATCAATGTACATACCCATATCAACATCAATGTACATAACCAGTATCACCATCAATGTACATAACCAGTATCACCATCAATGTGCACAACCAGTATCACCATCAATGTACATACCAGTATCACCATCAATGTACATACTAGTATCACCATCAATGTACATGCCAGTATCACTATCAATGTACATAACAAGTATCACCATCAATGTACATACCAGTATCACCATCAATTTACATAACAAGTATCACCATCAATGTACATAGCAGTATCACCATCAATTTACATACCCGAAAAACCATCAATGTACATAGCCAGTATCACCATCAATGTACATACCCGTATCAACATCAATGTACATAACCAGTATCACCATCAATGTACATAACAGTATCATCAATGTACACACCAGTATCACTATCAATGTACATGCCCGTATCATCATCAATGTACATAACCAGTATCACCATCAAAGTAGATACCCATATCACCATCAATATACAAACACATGTACCAGTATCACCATCAATGTACATAAGCAGTATCACCATTAATGTACATAGCCAGTATCACCATCAGTGTACATACCCGTATCACCATCAATGTACATAGCCAGTATCACCATCAAAGTACAGACCCGTATCACCATCAGTGTACATAACCAGTATCACAATCAATGTACATGTCAGTATCACCATCAATTTACACATCAGTATCACCATCAATGTACATACCAGTATCACCATCAATGTACATAGCCAGTATCACCATCAAAGTACAGGCCCGTATCACCATCAGTGTACATAACCCTTATCACCATCAGTGTGCATAACCAATATCACCATCAATGTACATACCAGTATCACCATCAATGTACATATCAGTATCACCATCAATGTACATAACAAGTATCACAATCAATGTACATAACCAGTATCACTATCAATGTTCATACCTGTATCACCATCAAAGTACAGACCGTATCACCATC